GCTTTCATTGCCCTGCATGATTCACATGGAGTTATCTAAAAAAAAAAAAAAATTTACATGACTACAGATCCAAACATGAGATGGAGAGAGGGGTGATAAGTTCAGATACAATACAAATAAAATCTTCTCTTTAGGAAATCACTCTAACTTACTAGTCCATCATCAGCCACCAGTATCACCTCTTGTCTTGAACTCCCTCGTCAGCCACCTGTGCCAATAACACCTCATCTGCCTGAACCTCATCAGTTCGCTGTATCACCTCTGCCTGAGCTCCATCATCAGCCACCAGCACTAACTCCTCATCCTGAACCCCCTCATCAGTCACCTGTGTCACCTCTGCCTGAGCCTCATCCGCCTCAGTGGTCTGAACGCACCCAACAGCTTGCAACCCTAAGTCATCTTGCAGTTCATCATTCACCTGTATCACCTGATTTTCCTCTAATACAACTGCTTCTGGCTCTATATTTGCATCTTGACTCTGTTCTCTCATAATCTCAATCAATATCTGTCAGGCAAAAGAGTATGAAGAAATCAACAGATGAAAACCTATTACATCAACTGAAATACGAGTGGAAATTTTTTTTTTGTTAAGAGAGTTCATACTCAAGAAGCCTCATCCACATATGCATATCAAAAAAAAAAAAAAATTTAAAATAAAAACATTCTGTGCAGATCAATTAGAAGTTTGAGCGATATACTGAGAGACCATTAGGACCATCAGATTAAGAATCTTGAAAAAATATCACTAGTAGTTACATGGCAATGCTGTGTCACTGTGGAACATTTTCGAAAGCGAATTATGAATATTATGAATGATACAGAAGTTTAATTGCTAAGCAAATTAGACATAAGCAGCAGTTCTAAGAAACAATTACCCCATTCACTCAAAGAATGTCCATTGAAATAGAGAAATTATTGCACGTTTAGCAGAAACCCGTGAAAAAGTTGTTTGCTAGCTTGTAATTTTTTACAACTGGATCTTAGGTATTTGCTGGTGTTTTGCTTTCCCTCCTAGACTGAGACTTAATTTTCCGCTTAAAGACTGTAATTCTCAACCTTAAACTACTACATAAAAGAAAAAACAAAAAGCGAAGGAAAACATCAAGACCGCTAAACTTTAGGATTAACACAACGAAAATGTGAGACATGAGAAATTTACATTCGCTACCTCGAAAGTGCTGAAAGTTTGTTGTGCATCAATAAAAAGTATCGGTAAATGAAGATCAGCGTCAATGAAATACAAAGCACTCAAACTTCTATGGGATTTGTTTCAACTGTTGTCAAACGAGTTAAAGAGAGGGTGTCTGTTATTCAAGAAAAATACCATAAAAGTGAAAGTCCTGTACTCGTACTGTGCGCGAAAAAGAAATCCACGAATATAACTCACCCGACAACGAGTTCTTTCGCTAAGGGAAACAGATCCTTTTTTCCAAATACTTGGGACGGATCCCGGCTTTAGTCGTCTCTCTGTCCCTTTTATATGTACCGAACGAGTGAAGAAGTCGTCGGTAAAGTGAAGTTTTTTTTTTTTTATGTTTAAGGTGGACGGCCGGGCCCCGATGAAGGGAGGTGCAATCCCGCCGACCTACATGTCTAATCCCAACCCATTGGCTGGCGTGCAATGCCTTAGGGATGGGGACCACCATAAACGAGGGTCACCAGACGCCAAACTCGCTGGGGAATCGAACCCCACCTCACTTAAAAATTACACACTCACTCCCAGAAATTAAACACACCCGCTCATTACTTAACTAAATATTTTCTTTTGTTTTTCTTTTTATGACTTAACTAATTACTTTAAAAGTGGGAACTTTTTGTCGCAATAAGCCAGAGCAGCCTCGATGTCTTTATCTCTCAACCCGAAAAATCGGAGATCTGAAGTCCACTGGCCGTGGGTTTTACGCTGACTGGGCGGTTTACGATAGTCAACCACAATCTCCCACACGATTGCACGGTGGTCTGCGGAACAGCGAGCCATTTCAGGAACTTCAAGGAGAACCTTAGGGCCACCATTGCAAATATCATTCTTGGGTGGAACCGCTGGCGAGGAGTGTTGGGCCTTCTTAATGGCTCCTTTTGAGACCGGAGATGTCTGAGGAGCAGAACGTTTACGGGAAACGTTGTCGGTCGGTACTTGATCAACCGGTGTGGCAGACGGGAAAAGATCGTCGCTGGCATCAGAGGAGTAGTCACACTCTTCAGCCTCTTCTACAACACTGTCCTGAGCAACGGGAGTGGATGCATCAGCTGCCGTAACACTGCCTTGGGCTACAGGCGCACTGTCTTCACTAGGCAAGGGTACATCCATCTCTACACAGGGCTCAACACTCCCTCCGACCTCAGGAGCATCCGCCACAGGCAGAACACTCGCAACCATCTTACAGTCCCTAGCCAAATGCCCCTCTCCATGACACCGGAAACATTTGCCCCTAAGGGGACACTCGGTGGACTTATGGCCCACCTTTCGACAGGTCACACACTGAAGGGGCTGCCCCCTATACCAGACCTTGCAGCGAACACCGCGGTAAAGTGAAGGGAGCAAATGCCAAATGTCCCATTGGGCTTAAAATGCTTTCTATGCTAGCTGGCGAATCTTTTCCACATGGCACGCTCGGTTCCTGTACCAGGACAGGTATGAACAGATATTCCTAACTGTTTGTCGGCCACCCTGTCGCAATCTTGCACGACACAACGCCTTGGAGGCATTCTGCTCGCAAATTATGCTTTGCAAATACCTCTCACTTCTCAGAAATGGCATACAAAATTAGCCACGTTGGTTTGTCGAGCTGGGCATATCACGTCACTTCCGAAAGGCTCCAACTAGTGCCACCTCTTTTAGCCAGACTCGGCCATTTTTGAATTGAGTAATGGCGGGCGACCAAAACCGAAAAACAAGGTTGAAATAATCATACTTCCCATGCGAATTTTGCGATTAAACTTGGCATGGTAAGTGTTTCTTACTTCTAGTTTCCAGAAGTGGAAAGAAAAGGCAATGCAAAATTTTGATCATAGTGGCATTTTAAGATTTTGCTTCCAAGGAGAACGATCCAAGATTCAGTTTCTCGAAAATCAATCGATTTCCTACCGTTTCACAATTTCGAATAGTCTACCTTTTTGAAGGACCAAAACATGAAGTAGATTGATTTACACTAATAAGACCAAAACATGCAGAGAATTTTGCTTCGTGTTTTGTCCAGAATTAAAATGATGACGAAACGACACCATCAGCCACACTTATCGGTGTTGAGAGTCTGTATGATTTTTTACTGTCAATAGGATAAATAAACAATTTTTAATAGAAAGAAAAATCGAGTTTCCAGATGGGAAACTCAATAGGATAAATGGCGTACCTATAGTTTACAACTCTTCTTTAAATCAAGAGAAACGTTCATTTCAACACAGTTTGCATTATGCCAAAAGTACTCATGAACAGTTAAGTTTTTTCCCTTTGATTCAACTCTCGTAAAACGACAACACATCATTACTGGACTTCGCGTCTGCCAAGAAAGATGTATAAATTTTCTCTTTTACTGGTTCGTAAAGCGGTTTAAAAACCATTCTTTATCTATACTATCATCCTCTAAATTCTCTGTCTATCAAAAGAATAAAGCTCAAATATGATACTTTATGATACTTTGATATCTCTGTGTCTTTTGGGTTAAACAAAATATGAAATTTGCATGGGATACAATATAGGCTTTTAAGAAATTAAGCTTTGTTCAATGGTTCAGGGCTCTTGGCTCAACCTTTTTGGCTTGGAGTCAGAGATGAATTTTACAGATCATCGAATTATAATTTTTTCCGCGAATACCAGAATTATCACGGCAGTTACGAAACGTAAGTTCTCTTTTTTGCCGTTTTAATGTAAATCCTGATTAGCACTTTCTTAGTAAACAAACTAAAGAGAGGCTTTCCCGCTCGCAACATGCGATGTTTTGTGCAAAGCTAACGTTATTCTAAAGCTAATTTTTGTACGTACTCTCATCAATTTATCAAACTTATCAATAAGATCTTCATTACTAAGATGACTGTTATCATATTTTCTTGTGCTTGATTGACCAATCATGGAACCAATTTACTGACTGACTAACTGTGCGTCGGCGCCAACAAACTGAGAGATCAGCTAGCCGACGGAAAGAGCGATTCCGACTGACTGGCTCACTAACTGTACTTAATCAAACTAACATCGTTACGGTGGCCAATTTACCATTTCAACTTTGTTGATATATCCAAACTAAACATCGACAACTGTCAAAAACTCAACAATTTAACAATCTGCAAAATTTGAATAGGGTTTGAAAGAATCCAAGTAGGATAGGATGGTCTTGTACCAGAATGAGTAGAGATCTTGAAAAACGAACCGCAGAACGGACTTTAAGTTGAGGCAGAGAAATAATTCACTGATGAAAACAGTCCAAGTATCCCGGGTTATTTCTAAGCAACTTACCAGAGTGTTTACAGTGCCAGGCCTTTTGGCTCGAATGAGTTTAATGGTCTGAAACGCTGTTCGATCTTGACTCGTTCGATAAGCTCGTAGCTGCACAGCCACTACGACCTACACCATCACTGAAAAAAAACAATAGATGACGCCAAGAGCCAAAAAAAAAAAATAATGATAAGAGCTCCTAAAAGGTTCAGGTCAGTTGTGAAGGTAAACTGCTGTGGTTCACCTGAGAGGGAATGTTACCCAATTAAAAGGTCTAGTCGCTTCATATTATGAAAACTGGGATAGGCACTGAGAGCCGGTATGGACCACTAACCTAAAGACACATTCTAAACTAAATTGAAATGCCATTTCAGACAGAAAGTTTACGGTCAAAGAGCTGAAAGTCGTGTATTGATTTCGCACCTGACTCAGTTAAGACGCAGAGCTATTCACGCCAACTAACCATGAAAACGTAAAAAAATCACAAGAAGCACAAGCTAACGCAACGCAAATACATGCAAATAATAATAGAAAGAGAAAGAGAACAATCGAGTTACGAGTCGTCTTGCTTTTTATTTTCTATTTTTTCTTTGACTAGCTGAAAGAATTAGCTATGTAAAGCAAACCGGCAATGAACTCCGCAGTAATGACAAGAAAACCTTTTTCTCTGTTTATTATTGCATTCTAACTTTATTTTACGAGTCACAAAAAATTGTAAGGAAAAATTCGCCATGGGGTTGAATCACTTAACTTTCTAACGTTTTTACTTCATCAAGGAGGGGTTTATTTATGGAATTGTATCGAAATGAAGCTTTGTTTCCTGTATAGCCTATTTAATGCTACTGATATTTCTATTTTTGTTTACACCTTCCAGAGGCTAAATAAACCATTCAGTTGGAACATAACTCACAAAATCCATGTATCTTCCTTCGAGGCATCGTGTAGTTAGAAAAGATGCTGACATGGACTGTGGCAAGACAAAGTAATCATTTTTCAAGGGTTTAATGCTTAATTAAGTGCAGCTAGTTCAGGAAAATCGTCCCTTTTTACAGCAACACGGCTAAATGTGACTTACAGTCATTTCAAAATGTATTATTGAGTATTTTACGTAATTTCACTCATATTAAGCAATTATTGGTGCAAATCGTAATTCAGCTGTCATACGTTACTTCTACAATTTGTATGCTTCCCTGCCCCGTTAAAATGTGGGCGAAAATTATCAGAGACAGAAAAACGGGTAACTACAGTCAGTCTCTTACAAAAAGTCTTTTACGAAAAGTTCTGATGTTGGTAAAAGCAAGTCTTCAACAACAAACCGTCTGTAGCGTTTAGGAGTATGCATCAAATGGGAAGTGTAATTTCGGATCTATCAAGCGTAAAGCGGAAACTAAAATATTCAGTTGTGGAAATTCTCGTAAATTCCGTGGCCTTCCTTCCCTGACTTTCCTCTCCCAAATCCCATATTGCAATAATCAGGAGTCACGTTGGTGTCTTGCATTGACTGGTACTCAAGAGGTTCACGTGACTTCCCTTCCGAGGGCCTGCGTTGGAGTTCCATATAAACAACAGGCTCTGACACTTGATGACCACCAGATCGGACAGGGATTTCACTGTATACCGTGGTTGTTGGTTTTTGAGGTTCAGTCCGTCTTAACCGCCATATAAGTGCACCAATCACAATGAACAAAACGAAAACAACGCAAGAAAGGGCGATGACACTAACACGAAGGACTTGGAATTCACCTGTTAGATAATAAGGAGAGATTTAGCCTGGATATGCAAATCTCTGTCTGCATTTGAATTGGAGAAAATAATGAAGGAATCAAATGTATATCATGAGATTCTTTCCAAAATCCTGCCTGGTAATTGATTTATTGGTGCTGCTGAATCAGCAATTTACTGAAAGTTTCTAGAAAGACTGTTTCCTTCCAATAGCCATTCTCATCTCCAGTATCAACTTATTCTCTTATAGAACACGATACACAGACTAAGAAGTTTTGGTCAATTACTCCAGAAAGCTTATTCCCTTCCCACTCTCGCGGTGTCCCCACAATACTCACTGGGATTTCCTTTCATGGTTTCTTTAGTATTTTTAAGTGACTCTGCAGATTGAAACAAAAATGACAGATTGGCATCAAACTCCTTCGAAGAGCAAACTAGAACACAAAACCTGCTCTTAACCCGGACTTTAGCCCTTTTCATCATAGAGCTGGAAGTATCAAGGCGCTTTGTCAATGTGATCAGTGTAAGTGTAAGCATCCGAGGGAAAATAAAATAACAGAAACTCTACCAAAAAGGATGTTATTCCAATAATTATAACAAGAATTACAAGGTGAACAAATGCAAATACAGACTAGAACTCTCTAACAGACACAACAACGTAGGTGGTAGGTTAGTTTGCTTTCAATAATCTCCAGTGGCCGGGGTTTTAAACCCAACTGATGGGGCCGAAGTGGAGAAAAAAGGCGACTTTGGCATGCACGAAACTTTGAAACGACTGCATCGTTCAACAAGGAACTGCCATCTGAAGGTGTAGTCTGATCGTCCGGGTGAGTGTAGTCCTGAGAAGGACTGTTGTCAGTGGCAGTGACTGACGTTTCGACAACCTGTGCGGAAGTCATCATCAGAGTCAAGTGAATGATTGTTGTCAGTAGAATGTTCTTATTCCAGTTCGTGTGAAATGATCGGTTGGTTTTGCCGTGATGTTATTGGCTGTAAGACTCAAGTGACGTAAGTCGGTCGTGATTGGTCTGTTTCGGTCTGTCGGTAAAGCTAGGTTGTTCTTTTTCGGTCGTTTGTGATGTTTATGTCGTGAATGAGTCGTTTGTATGGGGCGGGTAGTTGTTGACATNGTCAGCTTTTGTAATCATTACGGTGGCCAATTTACCATTTCAACTTTGTTGATATATCCAAATATTTGCCATCTCTTATGTTTCATTCTGTTCCATCTCATTTGCCCGAACTGAAGAGGGTACACCAACCGTAAGCACTGACTTTGCCTATAGGAAGTTTGTCTTAGTAGTCACAAAGCTTTCATGATAGTTTAACAGCCCACAAAACTGAAAAGAATTTACACTCAAGTCTCAGCTGAGTTCTATATTGCATACCTGGTGTGACGGCGGATATCAAGGCGACTTTACTGGCACTTCCTTCCAAAATTTGCTAGGGAGTGAACCACATATCGTCAAAAAGTGAAAAACACATCTACCAATTCATCGATGTAATGAAAAGGGATTTAGTCCTAATAGCAAGTATGAGCGTACGTAAAAACAAGATTTGTTCCAAATATCATTCTTCATCAATTGCATATTACGTTTAGCTTATCGACTCTAAACTGAAAGGGGAATTACACAATACCAAAATTTACTTACACCGTTGTGACGAGTTATGGCTCTTTGATAGGCAATGTAGTTTTCTCCTCGCCTCAGCTCTTTGTTTGTAAAGGTTCCATACGATTTCCCGTCACCAACAGTAAATTTCCTAGATTTGTCATGCACAGACCCATTTTCGATTTCCGCAGCGATGTAAAAAGGATAAAAGTTCAACTCTTTGTCGTTGGAATCTTTCAGCTTCACATCAAAATCCCTGGGAAGCTCTTGAACACAATCAGTGACTTTAAGAATGATTATTTGATAAGCACTGAAATATTGAAAATGGAGAAAAAATTCTGATCAATATTACGGTCATCGTCGTATCAAAACGTGGTGGCTGTTAAGTGACTGGAGTACATAAGAACTTTTCCGGAAGAGCTTTTAAGACAATGAGTGTTTGTGTACAATATAGCAGCCAATTGTGTGGTTTGATCGCCTTCATGCGAGTTATCCTGAACAGAAACGTTGCTAGCAGAGACCGACGTTTTGTTAACGTGAGTGGAAGGCAACTCAATACAGTCAACTGGGGGGAGGGGGGGAGGGGGAGTTACCCAGTTTGGCGTTGCAACTTAAGTTGGAAAGACCTTAGGCGTTGTATCTTTCTCAGATAATGGACTATGTATGCAAAATTGACATCATTACATGTACAGCGGCCGTAAGAATTGTGGCTTTCTCAGGTGAGAGTATCATCAACAGTTTATGCTTTTGGTTAATCTGTTACACACATTAGAAAACCATCACCTTATTGGACCATTCCTTTGTTCAGCAGGCCACAGATCAATTTCAGCCGTTATATCAGAGACTTCTACTTTAGTCATTTTCAATGCAACTGGTGCCACTGGAGCTAAGAAGATTACACAATTAGCATAATTTTCCAGAGAGAAACTAGTTTTCCTTTGAAAGAGAAAGCTATGTCTATTACGCTCCAAAAAAAATATGACAAATGCGTTTGTATGACCGTTTATATCACGAAATAAACCAACCTGAATGATAAATGTGTTATTTTTATCTTAAATTGAATTTTACAAGAGAGCTAATTGAATACGTTGCTTGTTTCTCGAAAGTAAGTGATTATTTCACAAGAGCAAATTTTCGATGTGCCCTCTTCACAAGAGTGTGAACAGTGGAGAGAACCACTTCACCAACAAGATTTGTTCTGTTGAATCTTAATTCTAAGATCCTATAAAACCATTTCAATCTTTGAAAGAATTAGAATTTGAGTTTCTATCGTAAATTATCAATATTTTATTCCTTTGAGCCAATAACACTTGACTTTCTTTCCAAAACAGTTGAGTAGTCTTTGGACATAAAACTGATACTGGTAATCTTACCTACATTCGCCCTGTAAACATCACATGGCTTTTGATGTTTCCCGAGTAACTTATTCGTATTAATGCCATTATTCGCACTTAACAATCTCCCATATAATTCATGTATTCTCCAAACGTTGCATAATAAATCATTTTCACAGCTATCTCTTGTTTACTAGCCTGTTCGTCCTTACCCTCCAGTCTTGTTTCTTCATCTATATATGTAGTGGGTCCTTGAGTTCCACATTCAGAGATTGCATAAACCTGAAACCTGTATCTAGTTCCTGGCACTAGATTCTCCACAGTATATAATGTTGCCACTTTTACATCTACGATGCCTTCGTCTGTAAAACTTTTATTGTAAGACTTAGTCCCAGTGTACTCCACCTTAGCAATCAAACAAAACTAGTTTGAAAATCTTTAAAAAACACGTAACTTGACAAGTATTATTTGCACAAATTATGCACGAAATTAAAAAGACCAACTTGCAACAAGAGAAAAACAAAATAGTACAAAAAATTGAAAAGTTTTCATTAAAGCCGAGATATCTTCATC